GCTGAGGAATTCTGGGAGTTGAAGTCCATAAGTCTTAGGTTGGCTAGCTGAGGAATTCTGGGAGTTGAAGTCCATAAGTCTTAAAATTGCCAGATTTGGAGGCCCCTGATATAGATTTAATGTACACCTTGCATTGACCAAATTAAGGGATTACAGAATTATAAAAAGCAAGGGGTTATTGAAGCTGTAATTGAAGTGTTATATCAAACCACTTGCTGGGATAGGCCCAAGCAACCCAAAAATCATGGAGCCAAAGGAACGGTGTGGTGTTTTTATATGTGTGTCTCTGTGTGCATCTCTACGTTAGACCTCTGCCCTCTTCTTCCCCGGGAGGAGGAAAGGCTCAGCTCCTGAAACAAGATCTCAACCTCTCTCGGGAGTTAATAAAATGCAGGCAAGCTACTAGTCATTTCTCGTAGTTGATTCTGAGAGGTTGCATTGCACTGTGTGGCATTTGTAAGTCAAATGTAGGGGCTTGCTTTAGAGTGTGGGAGTCTGCCTCGGGGTATAGTTGAAGGCTGCCCTTCTTTCCACCAGACTGTAAAATCCATTAAATCCCAGAGAACTGGAGAAAACCCCTTGCAGAAAAGAAATCTTTTCAATTGGAAATCTGTAAGGGATACCTCCTTTGCACAATTCCTGCACTGAGCAGGAAAGGGAAGTAGATTTTCATATTTCAGATTAACAGAGTTGGAAGGGACCTTGTAGGTCATCTAGTCCAACTCCCTAACCCTACACATTTCTGACCAATGGTAGTCCAGCCTCTTCTTGAAAGCCTCCAGGGATGAAGCTCCCACAACTTCTGAAGGCAACTTCTGTACCATTGGTGGATTGTTCTCCCTGTCAGGAAATTTCTCCTTATTTCTAGATGAATAGATGAGTTCCCTTCTCATTCTGTAGCTCTTCTTATGTAATAATCTTAATGCATACAGAAACTCCTCAACTTATGACCGTCTGTTCAGTTGAAACCGTTGTTAAGTGAATCACTGCCGTTTCTAAGTTAGGAGCACGGTTGTTAACCGTGACTTTGCTTGTCAGAAGGTCGCAAAAGGGGATCACGTCACCCCCGGGACACTGTGACTGTCGTAAGTATGAGTCAATTGCCAAGTGTCTGAATTTTGATCGTGCGATCATGGGAATCCTACAACGGTCGTAAGTGTGAAAAAGTGTGAAGTCTAGGACTCTAGGATTTCCAAACCCGAAGTTGAAGCATCCTGGATTTGCAGGATAGTGGAATTGGATGTTTTTCTTTTCCTGGCATTGAAGCACTGTTGGAGAAGGTGCCAGTGGGGGGGCCAATCTGTAAAGTACCCATTGAAATTACCTAATCGTGCTTGTTGCTGGAAATTCGTCTGGGAGTTGCAAAGAGCAGATAGGGCTTCGGTGGAACTATATGTTGTGGGAAGAAAAGGAACAAGAAAATACAAGGAGGCTCAGAAGTCGGCCGAGGCGGTTTCAGAAAATACTATAAGCCGTTTTGATGCAGAGGGAGGAATCATTGTGACAAGATGGATGGGATAAACGAGGTCAGGAATAGAAGAGAGATACACCGAAGGAGAAAGAGAACAGAGTGAGATGTTCAAAAAACATGATTTGGCTGGAAATGCCAGTTGTCCCGCCTGCAAAACCTTTCCGTTCTGAACCGTTCGAAACACCCTGTGTCGAGTTCACATTGATGGATTATGTACCATCACGTCAAGGTTGCCTCTTATAAATAGGTTTCCTTGGTGCTTTTCTGAGCTTGGTGATTTTCTTACCGACGTTTCATTACCAAACTAACTAATGTCACCAGTGCGAAGGAGGGTGGGATTTGCTCCTGAGCAACATCTGCAAGCAAACAGCCAAACTCAGAGAGCACCAAGGAGTCCGCAGATCAATAGATGGAGATATTTGTAGCTCAGGGTTGAACTGTGGGGGATTTGGGGGCTCACTGAACGTGATTTGTTTTTTAGGAGACATTTCATTACCCAACTAAGTAACATCAGAGACGATGTTAGCTAGCTGAGTAAGGAAATGTCTGCAAGAATACCACCAAGCTCAGAGAGGACAAAGGACGATAGATAGATAGATAGATAGATAGATAGATAGATAGATAGATAGATAGATAGATAGATAGAGAGAGAGAGAGAGAGATTTTTGTCAGGATTCCGATAGTTACCCCAATTAAATCATGAGTCTCGAGCCAAACTTCCAAAACTTAAAAAAAGGATTTATTGGGAGTTAACATGTCCGGCACTGCCTGGGTGCAGCCGACTCTGAGACACATATAATTCATTGTCACTCTTGACCCTGGTTTCCCCCCGCCCCCTGGGTGTATCCTAATTCATACCCTCCAATGGGACACCTCCATAGCCCAGAGTCATCAATCATCCTCTCCAGTTAGAATATTGTGCAGCAGAAACTTCAGTCACCTAGTTACTATCTTTGAAAACATTTATGGAATGCAGTTTCGGTTTTGCAAACTGCTGCACTGCTGCCCCCTCCCTTTCTGTTGCCAACTCTAAAAAGACTATAGAAATATTTTATGGGTTGACAGGTTTTTTCCCCCCATGAAGGTCTGTCGCCCTACCTTGATTCATCAGGCCTTCTAACGGTTCCCCCATCGCCACTGTCATGGATGGAGTTTATGCGCCTGGATAATGGGTGTCCTTCTCTTCCCTTCCACCTTTCCCAGCGTTACTGCCTTCTCATGTGTCTTCACATATATAACGTGTTTAAAGTAGGATAGCTAGAGCCCGGGTCATTTGTGCCTCAAGGGACCAAATTCAAACAAGCAGTTTGATGATTCCTGAGGCGTTTCCGAGTTGACTTCAAACAAAGCTATTTCAGGCTCAGGGAGTTGCCTTTCCACTCGGGTCAGAGAATTCAAGGTGTTTGAATTCAAGAACGTTTCGTACCGCCCTTGGGTTGCTCACATTTTCCCGTTTCTTTAATGAGAGAAAGGCCTCCCCCTCAATTCGAGCCACCTTAACAGAGGTCTAGACATGGGATGGTAGAGGTAGTTGTTGACTTACAACTGCAGTTGAGCCCAAAATTTCTGGTGCTAAGTGAGACATTTGTAGACTAGAAATAGAATAGAATAGAACAGAACAAAACAGAACATAGAACAGAATATAGAACAGAACAGAATAGATGGGATAAAGATTAGAATGGAATAGAATAGAACAGAACAGAACAGAATATAGAATAGAATAGAATATAGAATAAAATAGAATAGAATAGAATCGATAAAGAATAGAATAGAATAGAATAGAATAGAATAGAATAGAATAGAATAGAATAGAATAGAATAGAATAGAATAGAATAGATGGGATAAAGATTAGAATGGAATAGAATAGAACAGAATATAGAGCAGAACAGAATAGATGGGATAAAGATTAGAATGGAATAGAATATAGAATGGAATAGAATAGAATAGAATAGAATAGAATAGAATAGAATAGAATAGATGGGATAAAGATTAGAATAGAATACAATAGAATGAACAAGGATAGAAGAACAGAACAGGAATAGAACAGAACACATATGGAATAGAATATATGGAATAAGACTAGAATAGAATAATAAGTTTATTGTCACTTTGAACGTACACTAATTGGCATATATTAAAATGGAATTTTGTAGCCTACAGCTCTCAAAGGGTCACCACCTCCAGTATGCACTACAAAACCATGACAGAATAAATAAATCAATACAAAATTGTGCATATACCCATGCATATTATATGTCACAGAGAAACGCTAAGTGAGTTTCTCCCCGTTTTACGACCTTCCTTGCCACAGTTGTTAAGTGTATCACTGTAGTTGTTCAACTAGTCACACGGTTCTTAAATGAATCCGGCTTCCCCTTTGTCAGAAGGTCGCAAAAGGGGACCGTCACAAATATGAACCAGTTGCTAAGCATCCCAATTTTGATCAAGTGACCATGAGGATGCTACAACGGTCGTATGCGTTGGGAGGGGGGGAAAGTCCTCTAAGTCATTTTTTTCAGTTCTATTGTAACTTCGAAACGGTCACTAAATGAACCGTTGTAAGTCGAGGACTACCTGTATTTCAAAGCCAGCCTGTATTTCAGCATCTATTCTATTCTAATCTTTATCGATTCGATTCTATTCTATTCTATTCTATTCTATTCTATTCTATTCTAATGCAGAAAACTCAGGCTGAAATACCCTGACATTGTTTCGGATAGTTTTGCCCCAAAAACTTAAGTTTGGGGCAAAACCATCTGAAACCACATCAGGGGTATTTTTTGGACTCTTGTTCCATTGGCAAAGAAAGCCTTCAGTCTGGGGAAGAGATGTTTGGCCAATTTTGGTCCTGCAAACGATCCAACTCCTGGCGGTGGAGAGCGAGAGTGTATTTCAATTCTCTGCAGTAACAAGATTAAGGATTTTTTTTTTTTTTCAGGGATTTGAGAGGCTAGATGAGAAGAGAACTTCTCTATCCCATTAAGATCTTTCTTTTCAAAGCCAGAAAAAATGCCTTCGGTCAATAACTAGATTTTTCTTAAAGCGGCTTTGACTTTGGAGGTGGGGTAAAACCCCAGAGGTGTGGATGGGTAGATAAATATGGGTTCTGTGTTTCTGCATTCAGCGGGACAATAGCCCGTAAACTGCATGGGCGTTTAATTTATTTCCCGCACAATCACTGGCAGTCCTCCTGCCAGAAGAGCGAGGATTAAAGTCATTTGAGTTTTGAGCCTGTGGTTCTGCCTTGGGGTGGATGAGGCGGAACCTATCAGATCTGCTTCTTCTCAGATAGGTTCTGTCTGTTCCAGAAACAGCTGCTCCCAGTGAGAAAGATAGGAGTGTGCCCCAACTTAGAATAGAATAGAAAAGAAGAGAAGAGAAGAATAAATAGAACAGAATAGAATATACGGAATAAGGACAGAACAGAATAGAATGAGAATGAGAATGAGAATAGAATAGAATAGAATAGAATAGAATAGAATAGAATAGAATAAAGATAGAACGGAATAGAATAGAATAGAATAGAATAGAATAGAATAGAATAGAATAGAATAGAATAGAATAGAATAGAATAGAATAGAAGGATTAAGAACAAATAGAATAGAATACAATGGAATATAAGGAATAAGAATAGAGTAGAGTAGAACAGAACATAATAGAAGGAATAAGAATAGAATAGAACAGAATATAATATATGGAATAAGGATAGAACAGAACAGAACAATAAAATAGAAGGAATTAGAATAGAATAGAATAGAATAGAATAGAATAGAATAGAATAGAATAACAGAGTTGGAAGGGACCTTGGAGGTCTTCTAGTCCAACCCCCTGCTCAGACAAGAGACCCTCTACCATTTCGGACAAATGGTTATCCAATCTCTTCTTTAAAACCTCCAGTGTTGGAGCATTCACAACTTCTGGAGTCAGGTTGTTCCACTGATCAATTGTTCTGGCTGTCTGGAAATTCCTCCTTAGTTGTAGGTTGTTTCACTCCTGGATGAGTTTGCTTCTTGCCCTACCTTCAGGGGCTTTGGAGAAGTACAAAAGTAAAACCTACCCTCTAGTTTTGTTTAGCTCCGCTGAGTGTTTTTGGCATCTGGACAGAAATGCCTTAGCTTCTTCAGGGATGTTTTTGACTAGAGCAGCCTTCAGTTGAGAGTTTCCCTGGTGATTTCCCATCAAAATGCAGGTAGTCCTCGACTTACGATGGCAATTGAGGCCAAAATTTATGTTGCTGACAGAAAATGTTGGTTAAGTCAGTTTTGCCCCATTTTACGACCTTTCTTGCCAAAGTCCTTAAGCGACTCACTGCAGTCATTAAGTGAGTAACACGGTTCTTAAATGAAACCGGCTTCGCCATTGACTTTGTTATTCATAAGGTCACAAAAGGGGATCGCTTGACACTGCGACCGTCCTAAATATGAGTCAGTTGCCAAGTGTCTCAGATTCAGATTATGGGGATACCGCAATGGCTGTAAGTGGTGAAAAACGTTCATAAGTCTTTTTTTTTTCAATGCCATTGTAACTTTGAATGGTCACTCATTGAACAGTTGTAAGTCAAGGAATACTCATACAAGTGATCTTCACCGTATGACTGGTTGCTTAGCGAAAGATACAGCCTACCTGAAAAAAAACAGGGTTATGGTCGTGCCTTCCCTCAGTTTTGGGCACCCAGCAACTCAACCATATTTACAGCCATTTGCAGTATCCCACAATCACACAAACGTGTACCTTATGACGGTTTTGCTAAAAACCAGATCTTCACAGACGATCCCTTAAACCTGAGCCAGCAGCCAAAAATGCTAAGACAATTCTGGGTTGTATAAACCAGGCATAGAATCAAGATCCTGCAAAGCATTAGTGCCGCTTTATAAAGCCTCAGTAAAAGCACACCTGGAATAACTGCATCCAGTTTTGGTCACATTACATTATAAAAAAGATGTTGAGATTTTGGGAAAAAGCGCAGAGAAGAGCAACTAAGATAATAAAAGGTCTGGAGACTAAAATATATGAAGGATGGTTGCAGGATTTGGGTAAAAGAAGGACGGGCGGGGGCATGATGGCAATATTACAGTATTTGAGGGGCTGCCACAAAGTATTCCACTATTTGAGGTTCTCCTGCTTGGGTGGGGGGTTGGACTAGATGACCTATGAGGTCCCTTCCAACTCTGTTAATCTGTTAAAGAAAAGGGGGTCAATTTATTTTCCAAAGCACCAGAAGGCAAGTACAAGAAGCAACCGATGGAAACCAATCAAGGAGAGAAGCAACCTGGAATTAAGGAGAAATTCCCATCGGTGAGAACAATTAACCAGTGGGACAGCTTGCCACCAGAAGTCACGAATGCTCCAACAGTTCCTTGTCTGGCCTTCAGGTGCTTTGGAAAATAGGTTGTCCCCCTTCCTCTCTGTGACAGCCCCTCAGATATTGGAAGGCTGCTACCACGTCGCCTCTGGTTCTCCTCCTTGGACTTCCCGGTGGGCTGCGTACCATCTGCCAAAGAAGCAGAGGGTCGCCTTTGCTGCTTCTTTCCAACGCTAGGATTTTGTGAAATAAATACGGGCAGGGCTAATCTATGATAAATTTTCTTGGCTGTTAAAGAAGGCGGAAAGAGGGCGGGTTGTAGAAGTGAGTCACCTGGGAGTTATTATCCCCATTGAATCTTTTTTTTTGGGGGGGGGGGGTGCGTGGCCACTGGGCAGGAACTGTATGGCACAGCCTGCTTCGTTTTCTGCAGGAATGAAAATCAGTTTGGTTTGGGTTTTTCTTTTCTTTTTTCAAATCTGGATCAAGTTTGTCTCCGCTTTAGGGTATTAAAAAAAAACACGGGTAGGAACCCTCATCCGCTGGAAAATAAACCGAAGGAGGAGATACTTACATCTTAATACTGGCTTTTCCCATTCTCAATTTTCAATCGTTGACTGAATACCAAATAACTCCTCCAAAGGGGCGAGGGGTGCGCGATGCTCCTGTCTCGGGCTCTATTCCCCTCCCCACGTGGTTTGTGGTGGGTTGCACAGTCAGCCCAGACTGCTAAGCCTTTTGCAAAAGCATCCTGTAAAACTGGCAAATGCAGCACACGCTTTTGCTATGTCTGTTTCAGGTTTGTTTGTTTTTTGGTTTTAATTTCCCCTCCAGGTTTATTTTACTCTGTGCAGCCACCACTGCTTGCTGATGCTTTTAATCACGCAACACCCCCATAGGGCTCGAAATTCTCCATGGCTCCCCGTCATCTCCCCGCCTTTCCCTCCCTCCCTCCCTCCCCCCCCCCCCCCCCGTTTGCAAGGCACTGTGGTGGTTTATCAGAAGGCTAACTAGAGAAAAACCATATTCTGTGACTCCTGAATTATGTTCCGTTGCTTCCAGCGCTCTCTCCCAAGGAATTTTGTCTCGGGCAGAATCTGTCGAGGTTCTTGATTATAGCTATATAAAACTTGGAAAATAACATTGTCCCCCTGTAAGACAACTCTTAAGGCTCACCTGAATTGCCTCGACGCTGCACATTTTATTCCCCCTTCTTCCTGAAAATTGAAGAAACGGCGAAGGGTGGCAAATGGGTGGTTCCTTATCTGCTTGATAGTTCCAAAAGTCACCAATAAGGGAGAATATTTATAGCTCAGGATTGAAATAAGGTCTCCTCTGAGCTTGGTTGTTTTCTTGCAGATGTTTCAGAACAACAAAATGGGAAGATTCAAATTCTCCATTTTTAATCTTCCAATCCAACCCCCTGCTGAAGCATGAGACTCTATATCGTTTCAGCCAAATGATTGTCCAATCTCTCTTTTAAAATCCTCCAATGTTGGAGCACCCACAACTTCTTGAGGCAAGTTGTTCCACTGATCAATTGTTCTCACTGTCAGGAAATTCCTCCTTAGTTCTAGGTTGCTTCTCTCCTGGATTAGTTCCCATCCGTTGCTTCTTTGCCTCGCCTTCTGGTGCTTTGGAGAATAACTTGACTCCCTCTTCTTTGAGGCAGACCCTCAAATATTGGAAGGCTGCTACCATGTCACCCTTAATCCTTCTTTGCATTAAACTAGACATACCCAGTTCCTGAAAGCGTTCTTCATACGTTTTAGCCACCAGTCCTCTAAATTCACTGTCGGTAACATCATCGGTACTAGTCCCACCATAGCACCAGTCACTAGCACTGATGATGTTACCTAGATGGGCAACAAAACGTCTGCAAGAAAACAACGAATTTAGAGTCTACCAAGTACGCATCAGTTCCAAAAAATAGCAAGAAGCCTTGACAATATAAGAGAAAACTCCCCCTCAACTGCAAACAAAAGTGGTGATATTTCTGAGTGTTTTTCTAAACGCTCCCTTTCGAGAAATTAGTGCTTCATTGTCCTTATTAAATATGCAACAGGTTTTGGTAGAAGGAACATTCACCTTTTCCACAGCAGCCTGATGAACTGCAGACCCTAAATTTGATTATATTCCTTTGGGTAAAGCGAAGACTGAATTTAACGCAGTGACTTCATGCTTTCTTAACATGGAAGCAAATTCCCCCCTGAAGTCAGTGCTGTGAAATCAGCTTATATAACAGACATATATTACACAGGTTTCTGGACAATAACCTTCATTAGATGCCTAAACATAACAAGGTACCGAAGTAAATCACTTTAACGTGGCAACACAAACATTTCTCCAAACTGTTGCTATTTCCCGGTCCGTACCTTCCTGCTGTGAAAGCAAACGTTGTGTGGAAAATGGTTTTATTCATATTTTAATACAGCTGCATTCTCCTTTCACTATTTCTTCCTTCCCTCGATCTGCCCTGACAATACCAGCCATTAGTCTTGAGATCCAGTATATATAGTGGAAGTGTGGCCACATATATGTGTGTGTATGTATATGTGTGGCCACACTTCCACCTACATTGTTCAAGTTGCACATTTGAAAGGGGAAGCTCTCAAAAGATATGAATATGCTTAAATCCAAGAAGAAGAAAAATTATCTGAGGCCTCTGGATTATTAGTAACAGCAGGGCTTGGATGGCTTCCTTGGAATGGAGGGTAAAACGTTACCCACCAAAAAACGAGACAAAACTATACTCAAGGAGCAAAGAGGATTTTTTCCCTTGGTCCCTTGCAGAGACCAAGGGAAATAATTTTGGTTATAATTTTGGCATTTTTTTTTAATTTTGTTTCTCCCCCCCCCTCCTCTCAGACCCTACAATATAGCAGAAACTTTGGAGAGGGAAGGGATGCTTATTTCCAAAGCCCCATCCCTCTTGATTTCAATTGCAGTTTTATTTTATTTTTTTTATAAACAAGTCCCACGGCCTGTAAATCCCACTGATCTAACAGAAAAATAGAGGCCTCAAATTAGATGGATGATTTCAGGAGGAAACAGCACGCGTTTCCTAAACTTTACAAGAATTTCTTAAGTACAAAAAATTGTGAATTCTCTCCCACCCCTCACCCTGGGGGGAGATTTTTTTTTTGTCCCCTTCTCCGGGTGCCAAGGGGCTAGTTTTTCCCTACTTTCTCCAGGATAAGATTGAATAATCTTAAATAAATGACCTCCCTCTTCTCCCCTTTGCTTTCAGAGACATGTTAACCCCAGGTAAAGCATGACAGCCAGGGGAACCTCTTTATCCCGAAAGGGAATTTATTTCTCCTGAAAGGAAAAGTTTCTGCTTTGGTGGGCCAGATACTCAGATGCTTCCTCAAAGGGGGATATTGCCAACAACAACAACAACAACAACCTACTGGATGGCATCACTTAAATCAGATTTCTTTTCCTGCCCAATTGCTTGTAGTAATTTATCTTCCCAGCGCAAAGGCAGACCTGTCAATCTCTGATCCAGGGATGGGCACCTATGACAACTTTACAACTGGGAGTTCTGGGAGTTGAAGTCCGCAGGTCGTAAAGTTGTCGTCGTTGCCTGCCCTTGCTCTTATCATAGACGATGGCAACTTTTTGGAAAAGCCTCCACAGATTTGGGCTGCACCCCTACACACACCTGTTAGGTTCTCATTCCTCCAGGCAACCCAGCTCCAACCTCTCCCTCCCCTTTGATGTGGATGAGAGTAAGTGGCTGTGAAATTCCATGAGGATCATTTTTTATAGCCAACACATTTTATTCCTGGCACCTTGGCATCCTGGCACTCCCAATGTGTTGTGTTTCCATTTTATTTGAAGATTCTGCTTTTCCCTTCCTGGACCTGACCTGCAAAAGCCCCCTCCCCTTTCAAAATGGCTAGCAAGGGGTTGTGGTCAGAATCTCTGTGTCTAGTTCGTTCCTTCCCTTACCCGTTTTTCCTGCTTCTCGATAAAATTCACATTTTTCTGCTGTTCTGTGTTGAGATTGGGGCCATAACGGGGAATTTTCTTCTTTTTGTTGTTGTTGTTCCAAAGGACACAATTTCGAGCCCTCAGTTTCTCCTTCCCACTCTATCCCACCTTTTCTAACCGTTGTTCCATTGCAGTTATTTCCTTTTTTTTTTTTTTTTTGGTCATTCGACTTAGTGACACATCTCTCATTTTATTCCAAACTAATAGCTTCAATTGAAGGAGAATTTCTCCCTCCCACTCCCCACATATATCTTCTCTTTCACCTTCCCAGGTATGCTGAACCATCCACCGATCCCCATTTCGGAGCTGGCAGATCACACGGAGCACCTGAAAGCCAACGATAATCTGAAGCTGTCTCAGGAATATGAGGTACGAGTGGGGGTCTCCGTCGAAGGAGGTGGGAAGCGTCACCGAAGTGATGGGTGGCGGGCTGAAAACCCCATAGTGAAAATCTTCCTTTCTGCTTAGAGTCATAAGAGCTAATCAGTGTGGTTGCCAACCACTTGCCAAGCAGGTAGACTGCACATGCCTTGAAAATAATTCGGATTATGCACTAACTTTCAAATCCGTTTCTTCCATTGATTAAAGCAGCCTGCTGTGCTTTAGCCGTGCAATCGCACATGGACAACTGAGAAATTGCTTTACAGAAAGTCCTTGACTTACAACCATTTGCATAGCAGCTGTTGGACGCTACAACGGACCTGAAAAAAAGGACTTACGACCGTTACACTTACACTGATACCCTTTGTCATGCCCCTGCCAGAATCTGATTTGGAGGGGGAGGAGGAACAGCTGACAGGGAGTGGGAGTGTGGCTCCATTGGCTGTGGAGGAAACTGGGGAAGGGCAAAGTCCGGCTGGGCAGAGCAGGGTAGAGGTAGAACAAGGGAGAGGGAGTTCAGAGGAAGACCCAGGCCCGCCCCCTCTTCATCCTAGGGCACACAGGGAGGAACGGAGAAGGGAGCAATGTGAGTTGCGTGACTTACGAGGAAGGAAAGGGCCCTGATTCCCTTTGTTAGCTGCAGATGGGAACACCGTGTTTAAAAAGGGAAGCTGCGCACAGCAAAGGAGCAAGTTGTGAATTATCTGTTATTGTCGAGGCTTATCTGTGTTTCTGATGTCTTCCCAACTGTGTGTGTTTTGTTGACCTTCGAAGTCTGCAATTCCCAATCCTTCCCTGTCCGGTTAATTGCCGCAGCGTGGTTTGTGTGGATTTTTAGTTATAGTTTTATGTACTTTGTTTTCGGACTGAATTTCCTCCATGAAAGACTGTTCTTGGGAGAGTTTTTTTCTCCAGCCAAAGGTAACCTGGACATTGGGGGCAAAGTTGGAGGTATTCAACGGACTCTTCTGGCTTATTTGACTGTGTTTCCTTTGTGCCCCACCCCGAGTCATCACACCCATTGCAATATCCCCGTAGTCACGTGATCAAACTTTGGCTGCTTGGCAACTGATTCACATTTATGACGGTCGCAGCGTCCCCGGGGTCATGTGATCCCCTTTTGAGACCTTCAGACAAGCAGAGTCAACGGGGAAGCCAGATTCTCTTAACAACCAGGGCGCTGACTTAACAATGGCGGTGGATTCACTTGACAGTTGTGGCAAGAAAGATTGTAACACAGGGCAAAATCTACTTAACAGCTGCCTCGCTTAGCAGTGGAGGTTTTGGACTTGGCTTATCAGAAGACACAAAGGGTGATCACATGACCCCCCCCCCGGGGACACTGCCACAGTCGTAAGTGTGAAAAATGGTCATAAGTCTCGTTTGTTGAAACTTCAAATGGTCACTAAGCAAACGGTTGTAAGGCGAGGATTAGCTGTAATCTCAGTCTTCTCCATCACTAGAATTCCAAAGTATTGCTCTTAGGAATGCAGCTTTTGTCGTGGAGGTTCTCTCCATTCTTCTTGTTTCTAGATATTGCTGTTTTCTATAGTTATTTCCCATCTCTACGGCTGCCTGCAAGAAGCACATTTGGGCAATGTTCCATAATCACCAAGACAGCAAATCTTATTTTTAAAAAATCTTTACAAACATTATTTAGAAAGTCATTATTAAAAAAAAAAAAATACTATCGAAAATTTAAAATGTTGTCATTGCTGCTATTCTCCTTCAGGGAAATAAATGCCTGCTTCTCTTTAAACCTTCCCTTCAGGTTTAATCTTGATATGCCAGTACTGACAATGAAATAAATGATAAGATGGGAATAATATTTTATCAGAATGGAAAGATCGGTTTCTCTATCCTCTTAAAGCAGCATATTCCAACCTCTGGGGGTGTGGACCACAGTCCCCAGAATTCTCAGCAACAGCGATGGATGGCTCTGGAATTCTGGGGTTTGAAGTTTACACATCTGGAAATTGCCCAGGTTCAGAAACAGTGCCTTAAAGCAGGGGTCCCCAACCACTGGGCCGCGGACCGGTACCGGGCCGTGGAACATTTCCTACCGGGCCGCCGGTTTGCTGGGCGTCGCCATCTTGTTTGACGAGAAAGTGCTTCCGGGTGAGCTTTTCCGGTTGGAAAGCGGCGTTTGGGTCCTGAATGAATCCTCGCACCTTAGTCTCATCGAAGGGGGGGACGGCTTCGAACGAAACTAAGGCGCGAGGATTCTTTCAGCACCCAAGGCAAGGCGAGCCGAGCGACCGTCCCGAAGCCCGTCGACAAAGGTACAAAGGAGGAGTTGAAGGTGGCGGGGAGAAGCGGGGGACAGCTGGCTGGCCGGTCGCTCGGCTCGCCTTGCCTTGTCATGCGTGCTGATGCCGGTACCGGGCCATGGATCATTTTGTGATGACGGTACTGGGCCGCGGCACAAAAAGGGTTGGGGGCCACTGCCTTAAAGCATCTTATTAAGCTACCTGAGTCTGCACCAGGGCGGCTAAACAATCCTTGGTTGTCTTGATTCCTGCAGCAATCCTCGGTTGGTTCAGATTCAAACGCGTCTCTAGTTTACTCTGAAACAGGGGTGTCTAATTCGATTTAATTCAGGGTTGTGTTTGATTTTGGGGGACCAGGGTGGGTGTGGCCAGTTTGACATCATTCTTGTCAGGGGTGCCTGTGGTGCCAGCGAAAATGCGCTCCCGCGCTCTGTTTTCGGCTGCGGTGGCCTCCTGCAAACTTCTGTCAGTGAAAACGGAGCTCAGGAGAGCCAACTCTCCTGACAGAGGGCCGCAGGGTGCCATCACAGCTGAAAGCTATGCTCAGGAGCCCATTTTCGCTGGCAAAGCTCTTGGGCCACCACAGGTGCCCCCGACACGAGGGACATCGAGCTGGCCATGCCCACCCTGGCCCCCTGGGGTCAAATACCATCCTGATGTGGCCCTCAATGAAATTGAGTTTTGACACCCTTGCTCTAGAGCAAGTTTTGTTTGTCCCTGAGGATGCCACGGCATTGTTCTATCCCAAAGTCAGTACAGACAAGATATTCACTTGATCAACATTTTGACCCAAACACCCACCACCACCATGCAAATACCCACGTGTGCAGAATTCGATCCAAAAAAAAAAAAACCTAAACCTTGCAATGACTTTGTGTGCACGCATCCCCGTAGTGTATCTTTCTCTTGCTAAATTGCCAACGCCACAGTTGCAACCGCAAGAATCTATTCTTATAGCAAGGTCTTGGCACCTAGACAGCGCGGCTGTGATGATGTAATAGATGCATCCAAGAGATAACCCGCTGCTCCCCGAAGGTCCCCAGCCCACCTCATTAATTTCATAAAAATGAGAATAACAAGCACTGTGGTTAGAGACGGGAGTTTCTCACTGTTTAACCTTTGGAAGTGTGTGTTTCGATTTGAAAGTTCTTGCTAAGGGGTGCGGTTGTGTTCCCTCTGTAGAGCTGCTGTACTGAGTTTGCCATTTCTGAACTTGATTGGCGTGATGAATCCTTTCTAATTTTTGTTTTAAAGAGGGAAAAAAATCATCAGCTCTAAAGGGGTTACGCCCACGCCACATACCCCTGGATTAGCCCGGTTTTCTGAGTTTGTTGGGTACGCAGTATATTCAATCATCTTAAACCATTTTGGATAGGAAAAAAAAATCAAGCCATCATTAAGACTAATCATCTTTAATTTGTGGAAAGCAGCTGCTGACCGCGATTTGACCTGCTGGTTTGGGTTATGAAGAAGGTCAGGATGTGGTACCAGTGACATTATGCAAAAAAAGAAAAAAAAGGAATAAGAAATACCAAGATCCCAAAATGAAAGTAGGACAGGGGCCTTCAAACTTGGCAAAGTTTAAGACTTGTGGACTTCACCTCCCAGAATTCCCAAGCTAACCTGACTGGAGGAGGAATTCTGGGAGTCGAAGTCCACAAGTCTTAAACTTTGCCAAGTTTGAAGTAGGAGATGAAAAAAACAAAAGGAAATATAGTCATCTTCGACTAGTGGACTCTGCCCATCACAGTCATAAGTTGCAAGAGTCGTAAATCTGGGGACCTTTTTTTGGGTCGGTTGTTAATCGAATGCCACGTCCATTAAGCAAACATCATGATTGTTAAGCGAAACAGTGGCTTGCTATGGATGCGGTTTTGTCCCAAAACAAAAGTAATTCAGAGCTGAAGAAGCTTCTTGGATGAGAAGCAAAACGTCTTCAAAGAAAAAAACAGAAAGTCCAGTGGCCTCTTGAAAAAAAAAAAAAAAGCACCTTTGGGACCAAAGGTAATTACCAGTTTTTGGTAAAACAATTCTAAAACAGAGTCGGTTTAGTCCAGTCGCTAAAGGCACCGGGCTAGAAACCAGGGAGCCATGAGTTCCAATCCCACCCTAGGCATGAGAGCCAGCTGGGTAACTTTGAGCCCATCCCACCTTGTTGTGGGGGAAATAGGTGGAGGAAGGAGCGTTAGGTACGTTGGCTGCCTTGAGCTATTTGTAGAAGCCACGAAAGACAGATAGATATATAGATGAGAGAGAGAGAGAGAGAGAATCCTCTGTTTACCTAGGAATAATATAGACCCTGTTTCGCAACTTTAACCTCTTGAAGATAGATGAACTTCCAATTCCCAGTTCTTGCTTTCTTGAAGGAGTTATAAACATCCTTATTTTAAGAAAGAAAAGGCAGCTCTTTATGTGGGGGTGGCTGGAGGAAGGATGGAGGGAGCAACGCAGCCGAAAAGACCTGGAGAATCGGAGAAGTAAAGCTAAACAGGGCCTAATAATAGGAAGGGCGATGAGGCAGGAGAGAGAGATTAAAAAAATAAAATAAAACACTGCCCCTGGGTCAACTTGGCAGAGAAGGAGGCCCGACGGTGGATAAATTCCAGCACAGTATAGAAATAACTCCCCAAATCTGTTTCCAGCCAGCTCCGAGCAGTTTTTACAGTGTATGAATTGCTAATTGCCCAAGTAGATGATCGGAAAAGATTCTCATCTCTGCAGGGGCCTTTTCTAACCCATCTCAGCGTTCGGGCAGGGCGGGCTGGCTGGCTGGCAGGCAAGGAGAAAGCTAATGTATTCTCTCTCTGCCAAGGCTTATTGCCGTTTCCCCCTGGTGCCTAATCTGCATAATGTAATATCCAAAAGTACTTTTTGGCTTCCTTCCAGGACAGCCACCTCCTCCTAAACTGCAGATTGAGATTGTTTTGTTTGTTTTTTTTAAAAAAAAGAAAAGAAAAGAAAAGAAAGAGGGGAGGGGAGGAGGGAAGGAAGGAAGGAAGGAGAATGAGGAAAGAAAAAGAGGGAGAAAGGGAGGAAAGGAAAGAAGGAGAATGGGGAAGGGATGGAAGAGAGAGGAGGGAAGGGAGGAAGGAGGGAAGAAAGAAAGGAAGGAGAATGAGGAAGGAAACAGAGAGAGGAGGGAAGGGAGGAAGGAGAATGAGGAAGGAAAAAGGGGGAGAAAGGAGGGAAGGGAGGAGGGAGGAAAGGAAAGAAGGAGAACGGGAAAGAAACGAAGGGAGGGGGAGGGAGGAAGAGAGAGGAGGGAAAAGAGGGAGGAGTGAGGGAGGGAAGGAAGGAAGGAGAATGAGGAAGGAATATGAGAGATGGAAAGGAAGGAAGGAAGGAAAAGGAGGGAGAGGAGGGAAGGGAGGAAAGAGAACAAGGAAGGAAAAGGAGTGAGACAGGAAGGAAGGAAGGAGAAAAGAAGGAAATGGAGAGAAGGAGGGAGGGAGGAAAAGAAAGAAGGAGAATGAGGAAAGAAAAAGAGGGAGGGAGGGAGGAAGGAAAAGGAAGGAGAGAGGAGGGAAGGGAGGGAGGGAGAAACTTAATGAAATTAACAAGATGCAGAACTCCAGGCAAGCAACAATCCATTCGCAAAGACTTTGCACAAGGGGCTTGTTTTAACACCCCAGAAGGCTCCATGGTGCAGCTTCTCAGATGCTCCTGAGTGTAGCTGGTGGGATGCATTTTTAGTCTTAAGGAGAGAAGGACGTGCTGCTGCTGGCATAATAAAGACTTGGACGGTTTCCAGAACCTAATAAGGGAGCTGTGGCTTGTCAAGGTCCCCTTACCGCATCCCTGTGACTCCCTCTCCTTCCTTCCTTCCTTCCTTCCTTCCTTCCTTCCTTTCTTCCTTCCCTCCCTCCCTTCCCTTCCTTCCTTCCTTCCCTCCCTTCCCTTCCCTTCCCTTCCCTTCCCTTCCCTTCCCTTCCTTCCTTCTCTTTCCTTCCTTCTCTTTCCTTCCTTCCTTCCTTCCTTCCTTCCTTCCTTCCTTCCTTCCTTCCTTCCTTCCTTCCTTCCTTCCTTCTTCCCTGCCTTTGTTTACCCACCAAATGGCTTGGCTTCTTTCTGATCAAACAGGGAAATTTTCCAATTGGCTGCTGTCCACCTTTAATTCAGCCCCTTTTTGGAGGAGAGAGTGGGAATGCAAAATTGCAGTCTTGAGGCACAATTGGAGGTGAAAAAAGATGACAATATTTGTGTATCCAGCTTTGTGTGCTTTAGGATGATGCAGTTAAAGCCTGGAAATTTCAGACAGGGTTATTTCTCCCTCCCCCCCCTTTTTTTCCCCTTCTTCTTCTTCTTCTTCCTTTAATAGCTTCTAACTCTCCTGAGTTATAGACAAAGCTTCAAAGCACGTGGATCATGCTTATGCAAAGCGAAGGGAATAAAGTTGAAATATGTGTGTGTGTGTGTGTGTGTGTGTGTGTATGTGTGTGTGTGTGTTTTTCTCAGTGCAGAATTTTGACGATTTGCTGGAAGCCCACAACTGGCACGGCCATACTTTGAATTCCAGACTCTGAAAGGTCATCCCGTTTAATCTCCTGTGACTTCAGGAAACTCTCAATTCGAGCATCCTGACCACGGATGATGGCTCCGTTCGGCTTTTGCGAAAATAAATCTCTTTTTTAAAAAAAAAAAAAAAGACAGGAAAACGCCCACTTTCTTCTGAGCTGAGGTTGTTTCCTTAATTTCGGTATTGTGTTTCCGATTGAGGTGGCCTCGTGACCCCCAGAGGGCTCAATTGTTTCCTCCGGGGGGGGATCTTATCGGCCGAAAACATATTGCCTCTGACTGGGTCTTTGTCTGAGCTCCTCTTAAACCTCGTTCTTTTTCTTAGCAGCCCACTGAGCCGATAGCTAGTTTCACTGATGATAATGAGCGATCGCAGAAGAAATCTGAATGGACCAATCAGTTGTCTATTTTGAACTGAACTGGCCACCATCCTGGCCACATCATTCAATGTCCATGGAGATTCGCAGTCATCCAGCTCAGGGTTGTTGTCCCAAAGGTGCTTTTTGAAGAGGAAATTGGACTTTCTTTGGGGTTTTTTTTCTTTTCTGGAAGGCATTTTGCTTCTCCTCCAAGAAGCTTCTTCTTCAACCGAAGAAACTTCCTAGAATCGAAGCAAAACATCTCCGAGGAAAAAAACCCAAAGAAAGTCCAATTTACTCTTGAAAAAGCCACCCTTGTGATTAAGAAAATATTGGAATGTGCAGAAATGAGTAGATTAACATTGGCAATTAGAGAACAAGAAGAAATGGAGTGTTATATGATTTGGAATTTAACAGATTTAACAGATAATCAGAGTTTGAAGGGACCTTGTAGGTCATCTAGTCCAACCTCCCCCTCCAAGCAGGAGACCGTACACCAGAGGTGGGCAACTATGGCCCCTTTATGACTTGTGGACTTCAACTCCCCAAATTCCTGAGCTAGGCTTGCTCAGGAATTCTGGGAGTTGAAGTCCATAATTCATAAAAGGGCCATAGTTGCCCACCCCTGCCCTACACCATTTCTGACAGATGGCAGTCCAGCCTCTTCTTGAAAGTCTCAAGCGGTGGCGCTCCCACAACTTCTGAGGGCAACTTCTGTTCCACTGGTTGATTGTTCTCATTGTCAGAAAGTTTCTCCTTATTTCCAGGTTGAATCTCTCCTTGATCAGTTTCCATCCATTATTCCTTGTCTGGCCTACAGGAGCTTTGGAAAACAGGTTGACCCCTTCCTCCTCTCTGTGGCAGCCCCTCAAATATTGGAAGACCGCTATCCTGTCTCCCCTGGTCCTTCTCTTCCCTAGACTAGCCAGGCCCAGTTCCTGCAACCGTTCATTGTATGTTTTAGCCTCCAGTCCCCTCATCATCCTGGTTGCTCTTATTTTATATAAATTAATTTATTTTATAAATGGTTGGAAAATAAAGTAAGAGATTAAATGATATTGTTATAACGATATATAATGCTGAATAGGCTATAATATGAATGTAAAGAAATGTATACAAATATTAATATGTGCACAAGATACATGTACCCAGTCGACACCCTGTATAACTGAAAGATGGTTTTATTTTTTGTTTTTGTTATAAAAATAAAAAAACTTCTTATAAAAAAAGAAAAAGCACCTTTGGGCTACCTGTACAGAGTCTCCCAAATGATGAGAACATGTTCATTTACCTTGATTGCCCTCATAAATCACTTGCAGCCTTTTTCACTGTTCTATTGTCATAGTGATTACAGGGACTCCTCCACTTAACGCCCACAATTGAGCCCAACATTTCTGTTGCTAGGCAAGACAGTTGTTAAGTGAGTTTTGCCCCATTTTAATGACTTTTCTTGCCACCGTTGTTAAGCGGATAACTGCAGTTGCTAAGCTAGCAACAAGGTTGTTAAGTGAACCTGGCTTTCCCATTGAATTTCCCTCTAAGGAGGTGGCAAAACGGGAGGGCGTAACTCTAGGACACTGCAACCGTCATAAACATGAGCCCTGTCAGGGCTGTGGCAGTTACTCCCATTTAAATCATGAGTCTCAAGCCGAACTTCCAAAACTTCAAAAGGATTTCTTGGGAGTTCACATGTCCGGCGCTGCCTGGGTGTAGCCGACTCTGAGGCACATCATTCATTGTCACCCTTAACCCTGGTTTTCCCTCCCACCCCTCTGGGTGTATCGTAATTCATATCCTCCAATGGGACACCTCCATAGCCCAGAGTCATCAATCATGCTCTCCAGTTAGAATTTTACTCGGCACAAACTGCAGTCACCTAGCTACTATCTTTGAAAACAGTTATGGAATGCAGTTTCTGTTTGCAAGCTGCCACACTGCTCTTTCGAACCCCTTTGCCCCCCCCCCTCCCTTTTTGTTGGCAACTCTAAAATGGCCATAGAAATGTGTTACGAGTTGACGAGCATCCAAATTCTGACCACATGATCCAATGGGATGATGTAATGGTTGCAAGAGTGGAAAAAAAACGGTCCTAAAGTCACTTTTTTTCAGTGCCGTTGTGACTTTGAACAGTCACTAAACAAACGGTTGTAAGTCGAGGACCACCTGTAGTTGGAGGAAGACAGAAGAGGTACTTTCTCTTCTCTTCTTGCTTCCTTGATCCAGTATTTTGCAAACATAACTTCCACAATCCCACAAAAGCCACCCTTGACTGGTGATTTTCTAGCATTTTTAGGAGGCGCTGGATTGAAAAAAAATAAGAAGACTTAACCATGAATTTGGAACAGAAAAGGAAAGTCGTTTGGTCTTAATGCATTTTCCTCCTTCCATCTCTTCTAGTCCATCGATCCCGGGCAACAGTTCACTTGGGAACACTCCAACCTCGAGGTGAATAAGCCCAAGAACCGCTACGCCAACGTCATTGCCTACGACCATTCTCGGGTCATCCTCCTCCCGATCGAAGGTACAGATGAAACTGGGGGCCGGGGAGGAGAAATGGGTTGTGGGTTGGCCTCCCCAAAGGCAGGGAGTCCCATCATGGGGTTGTTGGTTTTTGTTTGCTGTCAAGAATTTGCTCTTCCTGTACAAACCTTAGGTCAGCTCTTGCAGGGGAGGGCTGCTGGGGGCTCGCTGGGGTACGGGAGAGCCCCTAGCTAAGATTCTGTGCAGTTTGGAGGGGCCCCCCCCAAAAAAAATCCCACTCCTGGCTGGCCCCACCCGCCCTCCCCTCCCAGGAGTCCCCAGCCGGCCTGTTTTGGATGCAGGTAAGAGCAGGGCCCGTGTGGAGGGAAGGCCAGAAATGGGCCTGTTTCCAGCTTCCGGAGAGAGCGCCTCCGGAGCCCGGGGTGGCCGTTTTCACCCTCTCGGAGGCTCGGGGACAGCCTCCGGAGCCTGGGGACCCCCCGCCATGATGCAGGAGGCCGACTAGGCCACACACCCCCATTAGCCACCCCCATCCAGCAACTGGGCAGAGAACCCATTGCTCAGACTTTTGAAGACAACCCCTGGCTTCCTGTTCTTTTCATCTGCCATGTTTGATCCACGTTGATCCTTTTGAGTAGGAGAGCGTAGAGGATCGGAGCTTCTTGGGGACGGGAAAAGCTTTGGGGCTTAGATGGTTGTGCTCTTGCGTCCTTTGCAGCTGTATCTTCCTAGTAGGTGCGTTTTCAACTGGAGCTTCTCTGTCTTTCCTCGAAGGCATTTTACTTCTCATCCGACAAGCTTCTTCAGTTCTGGAGTACTGAAGTTCTGAGAACAGAACTGAGGAAGCTCCTTGGATGAGAAGCGAAACGCCTTCAAAGAAAAACCAGAAAGTCCAGTTGCCTCTTGAAAAAAGCACCTTCGGGTCAACCATGATCTGGATGGCTGAGAATATCCATTGATATCATCCTGGTTCTGGGGCAGTGGTGGGATTCAAATTTTTTTACTACCGGTTCTGTGGGTGTGGCTTGATGGGCGTGGCAGGGGAAGGTTACTGCAAAATCCCCATTCCCTCCTCACCCCTCTAACCTGCTTTCCAGCTCCGTTCTCCCGTGCAGGGCAACCAAAGGAGACCCAGCCGATCAACTGGGACTCAATGGGAGGCGGAGAAGAGAGGCCAGTCAGAGGTGGGATTGGCCGGTTCTCTGAAAGGCTCAAAATTTCCCCTACCGGTTCTCCAGAACCGGTCAGAACCGGCTGAATACCACCTCTGTTCTGGGGGTTTCATAACTGGGGTATATTTCCTCCACTAAGATTTCATCCCAGGAATAACAATATTATGTCTGACTGACCCTTGACCTGGTTGCAAATTAACGTTCCACTTCCCCATTATAGACCAAACATTTCCAAGTTTGCTGACCTCTTAGCTTCTTAACAGAGTATCAGAGTTGGAAGGGACCTTGGAGGTCTTCTAGTCCAGCCCCCCCCCTGCTCAAGCAGGAGGCCCTATGCCATTTCAGACAAATGGCTGTCCAATCTCTTCTTAAAAACCTGCAGTTATGGAGCACCCGCAACTTCTGGAGGCAGGTAGTTCCACTGATTAATAGTTTTCACTGCCAGTAAATTTCTCCTTAGTTCTAGGTTGTCTCTCTCTTTGATTAGTTTCTTTCCAAGCTCATCCATCCTTCATAGTTTAACCATTACCGTGGGGGCCTTTCTGATGCCACCGGATGAACCAAATTTAGGAGCCAAGTTTTGAGTCATTGGATGGAGTCAAGATCGAGGGCTTTCTTTTTAGCAGGGAGTCAGCACGGTTCTGCAACGATAAATCTCTCGAACCGACTGCAGGATAATTAGAAATGTATCTCAGTATCCTTCCGTAATGTCTCCGGCTACACAGGCTGAGCATCTTAGAAACTGAAGTCCTACAGGTTGGGGGAAAAGGGCTGGGTGAGCCATTTTGTTCGCTTTGTTCATGGGTGATTGTTTTGTGGTCCTTCAGGTCCTCCTTAACTCCTGGGGACAAACATAGATAGGATCCATATGGTTTCCTTGGCAACAATTTTAGAAGTGGTTTGCTGCAAATAGCTTCTTCCAGCAATGAGAGGGAGAGGGTATGTTTAAGGCTACCCAGCTGCCAAATTTTCTAGGACTGGATGGAGACCCGAAATCTTTCCTACTTCACCCCCTTGAGGAATAAGACCATAACTTGCCATCTGAAATCACCCCAACCCTGTTCTTGCACCTAAATAGCCTCAACAACAACCAGATCGGCTCTTCCTGTTCCGAAGATTCTCCTAATGCTTAGGTGTGCCCCTTTCTGTCTCTTGACCATTTTCTCGTCCTCTGGATTAAGCGGCAACAACTGTGGAGTGATGTCTTTTTCAGACTGCAGCTGGAGCCGAGGGGAAGTACTGTAAACGGCTTTAATGGCTATTCTCCCACTCCACTCTGAAAAGAAATAACAAATTGATCTGATCGGTCAGTTTGAGTTAAAGGGGGACCATTGGGGGGGTTTCCCTAAGGTGGATTCACTGGAGGACGAGGGAGGTTGGAAGTTTTTCCAAAATCCAATTGCTTTCCCTGATCTTACCGAGAATGAGGGCGGGACAAAGATCACATTTATCTTTCCTTTCAGTTCAAGTAGAGATAGTCCTCGATGTCAGGATTCCGGCAGTTGCCCCCATTTAAATCATGAGTCTCAGAGCCAACCTTCCAAAACTTCAAAGGTTTTGGGAGTTAACATGTCCGGCACTGCCTGGGTGTAGCCAATTCTGAGACACATCATTCATTGTCACCCTTGACCCTGGTTTTCCCACTCACCCCTTGGGTGTATCCTAATTCATATATCCTCCAATGGGACACCTCCATTGCCCAGAGTCATCAATCGTGCTCTCCAGTTAGAATTTTGCCCAGCAGAAACTTCAGTCACCTAGTTACAATCTTTGAAAACTATTTATGGAATGCACTTTTGATTTCCAAGCTGCCGCACTGCTTCCCCCTCCCTTTCTGTTGGCAACTCTGAAAAGACCATAGAAATATTTTAGGAGTTGACATTTGACTTATTACCATTAGTTTAGTGACTATTTGAAGTTTTTTTTTTTAAAGTGACTTTTGACAGTTTTCTTACGACCGTTGTAGCATCCCCGTGGTCGCATGATCAGAAATCCAGACCCTTGGCAAACTGGCTCGTACTTATGATGGTCGCAGTGTCCCTTCGGGGTCACGCGATCCCCTTTGGTGACCTTCTGACATGCAAAGTCAATGGGGAAGCCAGATTCACTTAACAACTGTGTGACTAACTTTACAACAGTGGTGATTCACTTTTTTAAAAGGTCTTAAATGGGTCTTAAAAGGACAGTCACTTAACAACTGTCTTGCTTAGTAACAGAAATGTGGGGCTTGAATGTGGTCGTTCGTTGAGGACTGCCTGTAATTCTATTTTTGGCAAGTTTCTGGGCCCTGCCATGTGATTCTTTCGGCCACAGTGTGAAAAGAGGTTCCAATGTTGGGATTGTCTTTTGACTGCTCATCTAAACCCTAAACCAGGGGTCCCCAACCACCGGTTCCCGGACCGGTACCAGTCTGTGGATCATTTTTTACCAGGCCGCAAAGCTTGGGCACCGCCATTTTGTTTCGACGGCGCTTCCGGGTTTTCAGTTGCTTCCGGGTTTTCGGTTGGAAAGCGGCATTTGGGTGCTCGCGCCTTAGTTTCGTCGAAGAGGGGTGGGGCGGCTTCGAACGAAGAGTTACTCAGGTACCGGTCCGTGGAAGAATAAATAATCGTGAAACTGGTCCCCGGTTCAAAAAAGATTTGGGGGGCCACTGCCCTAAACGGATCCGGCCCTGCCTTGCGGGGGAAAGCGGTGCATTTTTCCCCCAGGAGCATCAGGGAAAAGAAAAGGATTTTTCTTCTAGTAACGCAGTGCATTCAGACATTCAGCCTCCCTTCCTCTTTTTCTGAGCAAAGCTGGTTCTTTAATTTAAAGATATATCAGATCGGTGCTGCTTGCGCTGGGCTGCTCTGTCTCCCATGTTAGCGGAGTATAGAAATCCTTCCTGGAAGGGGCCGAAAACAGACTTTCATATATGTCAGGTTGCTCTCGTTTGTGCTGCAGAGGTCAAACGGATAGGTGTGGAGTTCAAAGAAATTACCAGCACGGCCGTGTCCAGAGGAAAAACGTTGCTCTAGGGGGATTTTGCTCGGCGTTGCTTTCCGCAAACCGGCAGCTCAGAGCAGCTGTCCTTTCTGATGGTGGCGCTGAACTCCATAAAGCCAATAAGCGCCATTAAACTTTCCAAGGGCGAAGTCGAAAGAGGGCCTTGGACAAAATGGATTTTTTTAATCTGCCTCCCCGGCTCCTTCCAAAGGCCAGCTAGGGTCAGGAACAGACTCTTTGGCAGCTTAACCTCTTTCGATTGCTTTGCTGCTCTCCCGGTGCGAGGTAATTTCGTGGACCGGGGTGGGGCAAGGAGGGGAAACGGGAGCGGGGAGGGGCGCTTGTAAACGTTTGACTGAATTTCAGGGAGGGAGGGAGGAGGAGGGTTTAGAGAGCTGGGTGAGCGGTGTTGCATAGTGGTGTGAAAATGGAGAGAAAGGAAAGCAGAAGTGAAGAGGAAAGGAGAAGAGAAGAAAGGAAAGGAAGGGGAGGAAAGGAAAGGAAACAGAATAACAAAGCTGGAAGGGATCTTAGAGGTCATCTAGTCCAACCCCCTGCTCAAGCAGGAGACCCTATACCATTTCAGACAGATGGCTGTCCAGTCTCTTCGTAAAAGCCTCCAAGTGGTGGAACACACACAACTTCTGGTGGCAAGCAGTTCCACTGATTAATTGTTCTCACTGTTAGGAAATTTCTCCTTAGTTCCAGGTTGCTTCTCTCCTTGATTAGTTTCCATCCGTTGTTTCTTGTTCTGCCTTCAAGCGCCTTGGAGAATTGATTGACTCCCTCTTCTTTGGGGCAGCCCCTCAGATATTGGACCACTGGAAAGGAAAGGAAAGGAAAGGGGAAGTGGAAGGGGAAGGGGAAGGGGAAGGAAGGAAAGGGGAAGGGGAAGGTAAGGAGAAGGGGAATGAAAGGAAAAGAAAGGAAAGGGGAAGGAAAAGGAAAGGAAAGGAAAAGAAAGGGAAGGGGAAGGGGAAGGGAAGGAAAGGGGAAGGAAAAGAAAGGAAAGGGGAAGGTAAGGAAAGGAGAAGGGAAAGG